TTGCTAACGTCTCACTGTATTTGTCGGCAGTTCATACCTTTTTCAACCACTTGATTTTGTAGAACAAATATTTCTGACATCTCCGAGGTCGTCGCCATGTTATCTGCCAACATATAAGCGTGAAAGTCTAGAAAAAAGTCACTTTCATAATACTCCAGTTCAAAATTCTCTTCCGCCCCGTTTAATGTGCATTTAGCCCATCGAAACTTTGTCCGTTCTAGCTGAAAGGCGTACTTCATACCAGACATATTTATGCTTTTCTGTTTTAATTATTAGTTTCCGATATTTCCTTCCACGGCTTCTCAGATATTTCCTAACAAGTGTCTGTGCCTTGAACTCTCTGTATTTTCGTTTTTAGCTTAGCAAAAGAGAAAGCACTGGAAAAAGTAAATCAAAATACGCTCAAGGTAGAAAGTTGTTATCCTAGAAAGCTCTACTGAAAAATGCTTTCGAACGTCTAGCTAAAAGGCATATCTCCTTCGGCAAAGTATAACTAATCAAAAAATTAAATTATTTCTGACATATACGCATTATATTTACATTTTCATGTCTCATATTTTCTTTCTTTTCTGAATAATGCAAACACAATCTGTCAAAGTCCATCAACTCACCATATTATGCTTTCGACACAAATGAAATCTGATGGATATGATTTAGTAGAATTATAGCTTCAGTTTGTGAGAAAAGTTTTACAAAAAAAGATCTTGTGTATAACTTATAATAAATATTAAAAGCTGAAAATTCATAGTTTTGAATGAATTTAAAAAATTGGATTTTAAATGTGGTATGTTCATAATGAGCGCCCCTAACCTCGATTTCAGTGGTTAGCTTTCAGAAAGCTCTAGAGAAAGCTCGTTGGGGGAGGGATAAAAGGTTAATAGGTGGGAAATGTTTTACATTAAAATTAACATGATAATTACAATATTTTAGAAGCAATAATTACGTGTAAATGTGGCTCAAATTTCACATTAACAAAACCGAATAATAAATTTCAATTATCAAATTTTTATAAACATATAAAATCATTAATGAAAGAATTTGTAGCGAAAAATGATAAACAAAAAAGAACTAGTGCTCAAGCATCATTATCACTGACATCATCAGTACAATCACAACCATTAGTTCAAATAATAACGAATCTTGTAGCCGCATCACCTTCATCCACAAGTAGTACATCAACAATAGCACCAACAAAAAACAATTCTGCACCAGCATCAAGTGTACCAGCGCGATCATCAAAGCGAAGAAAACTATAACTATTATTTGTTTTATCATTAATTTATCATTAGTTTTATTATTCTAATTTTATATTTTATTGTATTATTATGAAATGTTTAACTAAATAATTGTCTTCTCATTATTTATATTTTAGATTTATTTACACCTAGTCGGATATTGTCATTTAACTGTGCTATTTCTATCTTTTTGTTGCTTCTATTCTGTTGCTGATTCATGCTGCTGGTGGTTCTGAATTTATTTATTATCAGTGTCAGTTGATCACCGTGATCAATAATCACCTTGAACTTTAGAAAAGATTTCAGCTGTTCATGTTCAGCTGTTTAGAAATGATCTAATTGGATAATACTATGATAAAATTGTTTTGACACCGTTCTAGTCATATGCACTAACTGGAAAAAGTTTTTAAAAAACTTTGTATTGAACAGATGTCACAGGATTTTTACCGTTTAATGGCGACATAAGTTTTAAAACTAAACTGATTTATCTAATGTGGATACGACTCCAGTAGGCAAAATGATATCTAAAAGTTTTTGAATTTCAAAGCTCATTCATTATAGCATTATATTTTTACTAATATTTCAATTAATCTATATAATTATCTTGTAAAAAAGACCATAACAAATTATTTACAGAAAAAGACTGCTCAGTTAACATTCAGGCTGTTTCGATTCTATAATTTTTACATATTGACGTAATTCTGATCTAACTTGTTTATCTAGTTTATCAAACATTTGTTCAACGATATTCTTTATTTGTTTTGGATGTCCTTTTGTCCAGATTGCTCTAACTGGATAAACGCATTCGTCTCGAATTTGAAAAAACTGTGGGTAATGACGTCTATCACTTGGGTTTGGACTAGTAATCAATGATAATACCTTCTTATTATCGGTATATAAAATTATTTTATAGTTTTTATCATTTTCTGTAATATAACAATTGTTCGAGTATTGTAATGCCATCATGGCAGTCAATACTTCACACATTGTACTGCCAGTACCATTAATATACAGTTGAGTTATAATTTGATTATTATATGAAAATCCATAGACTCCAATTCGGTAATGTTCATTATAGCTTGCGTCGGAAAAATATTTTCTAACACGGGGAGTTTCGGAATGCATTAAAGCTAAATGTGGCAATATTTCCATGGGAGAGTTTAATGTTTGCTGGGTTGATGATGTACATTTCTTTTTTTGAGATCGTTGTTGTCTAGCTCTCTTTGTGGATACAGATTGAGTGACATGTTTTGTACTGATTGGTGTCTCAACCAAAGCAGAAACACTAATATTAGCTGTTGATGTCATCTTTAATTTTGAAGCTTTCGCTTTTCCAGTCTGCTGTCTCTGCATAGGTGTGATTGGAATTATGGATTGTACTGATGGATTACCAGTATTTCTTTTTCGCTTTTGTCGTGAAACATTACTGCAGTTTACATTATTTTCTACCGATATTGATTGTGTTTTCGTTGTTTCAGACCGTTGTTTATTTCTTGATCTGTTTCGTTTATGTCGTGGCTTTTTGTCTGAAGTAATTTCAGTTAATTTTTGCTTTTCAGATTTATCAACATGAATGTCCGTTAGTTGCACTGACAGAAGCGTTTGTGTTATATTTTCTGCTTTTTTCGAGCCTTGTCGTTTGATCGGTATTGGTTTGGGTTGAGTTTTCAACGGGGATGATAATGATTTAATAGTATCTAATGACTCACTTTTCACATACGGATCTTCTTCTTGTTGAATAAATACGAGTTGATTGGATCTATGTTGCATTACTGTCGTGGATTCATCTACATTAGCTACCTGATCATTAACAGATTGTTTGGAGCTAGCGCATCCAAAAGAACAAGTGAACAATTTAATAACTCTTTTTTTAAATGTATTCATATCAAATTTTAAGTTTATTGTAAATAATTATTTTAAAGTATTTAATAAATATTAATAATTTTTAACATACAGTCAATGTATCTATATATGGCTTTATCCTTGTGGGTTGTTTTTTCATAAGAAAAAGGACTGAAATACTTCTAAAGGGTTTTTTGGCAGTAATATATGACGCATTTAGCAGAAAGAGAAAGAAATTGTGACACACTGCAAAGAGAAGGTCAGAAAAGAAAAGAACGATGTCAATAAATGTGTCACGATAATGGGTTGCATTCAGTAAAACGGATATGGGTATTTTCTCGTGTTTTTTGTACGAGAAGAACTTGATCCCAGTAAATCTTCTTTCATTGTTAATCTTCGACTTAAAATATTCAATCTTTTTTCTTTTAGTCTATATACTGAC